TCATTGAAGTCATTGCAAGGCTGGACGCTGCCACTCAACCTCGCGCTACCGTGTCAATGGAATGGAAAATAAGTACACCAAATCTCCGTGCCATCTCGTGCGTTGGAGAACGTGCGCTTGCCCAATCACTTTCGGAGCACTTTTCTTTGACCCCCAAGTGGTCTTCACGAGTTGTCGGGGCTTTAATCGGGCAAAAAACTGGATGGGGTAGGGTAGATGCATTGCTCCAGGTCTTAACGCCAAGAGCAACAGTCATTGCCCGTGAACTGTGTGAGTGTGAACAATTCCCCTATCACTTCTTTTGGCCGTGGTAGTCATACCTTGTTTCTTCTCACACATTAGATTCAGAGCCACGTTATTGGCTTTAATGCCCCTGGCTGGACCCACCTCACTTTGGCCATCTGTTCGCAGACAGTGGAGCTATGTGCCAATGTGTCCACTGAGTGAGGGTGTGGTTGCCCCTTGTACTTTGTGCTCGGTGGGCTTTATTGCCGTTTATGGTACTTGTACCTTTACGTGCTCCTCTGTTATTTGCCTCGTTGATTGATCACTGCTAACATTGTGATCACCTACCCCTCCCCATCCGAATATAGTTGGCACATGCGTGGCAGTTATTTTGCTCAAGCGCTCGTTATGGGAGCACTGACCCTTAACCCGCGCAATGGCCTTCTGTCTGGATTTGGCGCCGGATCATCTTAGGAAGATTCTTGGCTCCTCCATCCACACTTCTTCGCCCTGCCTCTTCTCGTATGACAACAAATTCTGCATCGTGGAGACCAGTATCGCCTTTTGCATTATGCAGCTGGCTGGCACGGTCTCCATTCGTGCACACTTGGATGCCGATGTAAAGTCCTCCGAATTGGTTGGGGCTGCTCTCCAGCTTCTCCACCGCTGTTGGTCCAAGGGACTTGCCCTCCAGTTGAGAGAGATAGATGGATGCGGATGCCTTGAGTGGCAGCAATGGGGGTTGCAAACTCTGCGCGCTATGGGTTCGGTGAGTGTGGCGTGGCAATGTACTAGCTGGCCACATCGGGCAGGCGTATACAATAGCGCTTCCGGTAACATTGCATGCATCTTGCAGAATTGCCACTACCACCCTGAGCAGCTACCAAAGGTCACCTCCCACCCTGCTTGCTCGTGCAACCCATCATGGTTTTTGGCCTTGCGTTCTTAAACGCCCCTCTGGGCCCCTCCCAGCTGAGAATGGCACCGATGCGCCACGAGTGCAAGAGTTCTTCCTCGTGGAAGTTGGACTCGAGTTTGGATGTATGCTTAAGTGCACCATGTGTTGCTCACCCACGCACGGAGAGTGGTACCTTCTCGACTCTACCCAAAACTTCTTCCGCTCCTCCTGGAAAACATGGCCTTCCGACTTGACCTCAATCTGGTGCAAATCCAAGTAGTTGTCCAGGAACTAACTTTTGCTGTCCTTCTAGTCAGCTTTCTTGTTGATTGGCCTGTTGGCACGGTCTTTATTGCTGTTGCCTTCCTCTCCTTTAAGCGCAAGCAAGCTGCAGGATTTTTTTTAGAAATTCCTGCAGGGTGCTGTTTTTCTTCTCCGGGTGGTCCCAGATTGTAAAGGTCAAAGGTGGGCTTGGTGCCTGCTCAAACTAAGCTGCCCAAATCAACCAACCCCTCCCTGCGTGCAAGTGGTATGGACTTCCTGGATCCGCTTCCTTCCAGTGTTTGGGCAAGTTGGAGTAGATGCAGGTGCTCTTCCGGAACATGTCTGACGTGGAGCAAAGTGTTGTGTCCCGACAAGTCACCCAAACAGGGTGATGGACAAACCTTGGCGGGCGTCTCTCTATCCATTCCAGCCCTTCTCCGGCTTCCCAGGAAGGTTTGCTCCGACAACTTCCACCCAAGAAGAGCGGTTTCCAGGTCAGTGCCTTCAGTCTCCGCGGCTGGTACTTGGGCCTCTGTCTTTCATTTGGGCGGCTGCCCTGTTTCCACCCTGCCGTTTGGTAGAGGTTGCTCCAATTTCTCGTTGTGCCTTATTGCGCCTAAGGAAATTGAGGCTCGTTTGCCCCGCTTCGACCATGTGCTTCCGCACACATTGCTCACAGCTCCGAGCCGTCAAGCCACTCAGACGCAACACCTCCATAAAGTTGAACAAGCTTTCGGCACCGGTTCCAAGCCCCGTTTGCTGACTTGGCTTCACCAGAGGAACCAGCTTTCTCGCTCTTGATAACTGGTTCACTCACTTGCCGCAGAAAGAGCTTGGCTGATTTAGGCGGCAGCTCAGTTGGGCAGGCTTTCAGCACCCAGAACAACTGCGATATTCCGATGGATCTGGGCACGTGCCGGGACTTAGCACTTGTTTGCTTGCACACTTACAACCTGCATTCTCATTGCAATCAAATGATCCAATTCTGTGCAAGATTCTCCTTGGTGCCCTGACACTGTCAGTTTGGAAAAAGAATGGTTGGACTTCAGTGCTAGGGGAGGTGCGACCCACGGACCCGCAAGCCTCCCTCCAGCCTCTGTCGAATTCCTTCAAGATTTCTGAGGTGTGCGGTTAAACTCTGTCCAAGCCGTTGCCACAGGGAAGGTAGCTGGTTGCTGTGCGATAGCTCAGCGGCTTGGCGGGAGCACCATGCACCCCTTCGGAGAAGGTTCGAACCGGAAGCCCCAACCTTATCAACCTGTAAGAATCTTCAGGCGGTTCTTACGTTATCTTTTCGTGCGCTGTGTTTGCAAGAACCCCGAAGACAAGCGCCTGAGCCTGTCGCAGGGTGTCCATGAGCCATAATCTCCACAATCTGTGCCTCTGACTGTCTGTCAGCTAAAGCATTGGTCTGACAACAACGCCTGCCGCTGGGCTTCCTGGATCGGAGAGACCCTGGGATTTAGGGACGGGACCAGCTTGGTGGAGTCTTTCACACGACTGGCACCCTTGCAAGTTGAAAGAACTTCCAGGAAACGGTGCCACTCTTCCAGCTCTCTAATCCGGCCTTTGCTCATCTCCTGTCCATTGATGACAGGCAGAGGGGGGGGTCAGCCCTGCTCTGTGACCCAGAGGCTACTCCACTCGCTGGAGCTACAGGGGCACTCGAAAGCTGCTGCACCTCAGTTGCACCAGCTGGTTCCAGGTGGCACTGAACTTTGTCCAGCAATCGCCACCAACTTCTGGAACACAGTGGTTCAAACAGCTCCGAGTTGTACTCTTCGGCTTTCAGCACAGGAACCTGGCTCCCGCTGAACTTCCACCTGCTTGTTGGGCCATGGCACAAAGCTCTGCCAAACTTCGTCCCACCTCAACCGTGGTGAGGCCGAACTTCATGTGTCCTCAGCTAAAGCGAGGCCGAACCGTGGCCACTCCTCAGCCGAAGCGAGGCCGAAAACACACCCTCTGCCGGAGCGAGGCCGAAAAGTTCCCTCAGCACTTGGCGAGGCCATATTCAGGCAGCTATGTTGCTTGCAGCCGACTGCCAAGCAAACACAGTGGTTACGGTTTACTGCATTTGACCCCCAAAACTTTTGACAACGTGTCCTGCCCTGGTTTTTGGGAGAACACAGGTGAGACTTGTGGCTGCAATCAAAGAGCAAAGTCTTTGAACCATTTTTGCGATAAACGAATCATTCTCAGTTGCCGCAGCACTGCCAAGCCTTTGCTATCGGCCCTGCCAAAATTTTGCATCGGCAGACGTCCTTATGTTTGGGCACCATGAGGGTGAGATTGGGTGCAGGTCTTAGTCGCTTGGCAACTGGGCCATCCTGCGGGCGAAAAAGGGAAGGTCCAGTCGATCACTACGTGGAGTATTGCGTATATGTAATGTCAGAGACTGGATTTCTATTCCAGCAAAGTGCAATGTAAGTTGCAGCAAGCTGTTGAGGCCAATCGCAGCTTCGTTGAGGCAAATGACAGTTTAAGTTGAGGTGGGTCGGTCATGGTCGGTTGCACATCGAAAGGCGAGTGGTATCTGAAGTTGACACCGTAGCGCGTGTGTTGAGTGCCGCACAAAGTATCGTGACATGGTGCCGTGCCAGATATCATTCACCCGCTGCAAACAAATGATGAAAAAAACTAGAGAGTGCCGTCATTACTCTCTCTTTTGCCTCTTTGTCTCTACATTCTTATTAAGGAAGAACTACGACCGCATTCCAAGCCTGCCGTGGATTGTGCCGGATCCGCGGCAATGATTGCTGCTTTGTGTGCGAAACTTTGGATTGTCCGATCCGGCATGTCCAAGAAATTTATATCAGGGCGGCCTTTTAATTGCTTATGAATATGTTTGTGGAGCCTCCATTCGAGCTCTTGTGTCTATGTGGGTTTAAAGTGCTACATGCATATAGATAACCTCTACAAGATATAAAACTGAAAGTTGCACATCGTCGTGCATTCCTTGGCCGATGATTCCGCATATTTCAGTTAATCGTGCAATGTTAAGCAGCTATGATAGTTTCTAAGCCCTTGACTTCCTTCTTGTCGGCAAAAAATCACTGCATGAATGGGATCCTAGATAGTGTATTCAATAAGATTCTAGTATTTCTGTTTCTGCGTCTGTACATGAAAACCCTATAAGAGTCTCACTATAAGAGTCTCATTTATCTCGCTGAAGAAACATTTTCATAGGGTTATGTGCAGGCCTTGTGTTAATGGCTTTAGCAGAAGTAGGTCGGAAATGGAAGTTGCGATTGGAAGATCTGAATAAGCACCTTTCAATAGGAAACATTTCAGAATCCCAGTATGTATGTGTTGGCCTGTTCTAGGAATTCTAGTATTATGACTGCATTGAAGCATTCCTTGAACTAGCATGCGTGCCCCAGGAGACGGCCAGAAACCTTGCATGTGACAATGCCAAGGCCCCAATAAGCACCAGGGTCCGAAAGAAGCTTGTAGCAGAAGTGCCTAAAACGTTGTAACCTTGTAGGTCGACATGAGAATGAACAAGTGTTCCATTTGCTGGAGCTAAGTGCTCGAGGACGATCCACCCGTGCCGGTGACACAAGCGCTTCTGCTGCTGGCTTTTGCATGGCGGCACGTAGACTTCGACAAGATGTCGCATCACTTCGCGTCGCCGGGATCTGTGAACCTGAACGGTTCTGATGATCACCACTATCGCTACACGATGCCAGCACTCGAAGTGAAGCACGAGGGCAAGACCAAGATGAAAAAATCATTGTTGGTCAACATTACCCCCATCAGCGAAGCTGTTGGACGTCCAGTCGAGGCACTTCTACAGTACATCAGCCAAAGCTCCAATGCAGCGTGGAACTTGGATGGCAAGGGCGGCAAGAGCAAGTCCTTAAAGGCTTATGTCACGGGGCATCATGCGCAAGCAGATCTGCAGGAGCAAATCCTGGCTTTCATCCGCAGCTTTGTCCTTTGCGGACATTGTGGCAACCCAGAGACGAGGCTGGAGGTGGAAGGTGCCAAGAAGCGCAGGACAGCTACGTTGGTTTGCAAGAGTTGCAGCAGGCGCACGACGCTCGACCCAGACGAGAAGTGCGTGAAGCAGATGATGCAGCACATGCACGACGCGCACGAGGGCCCCGTGAAAGGTCATGCAGCAGAGGACGCCCGCATGACTGAATTCGCGGACATCGCAGTTGGCAGCGCCGCCCAAGAGACCAAGCGAAGCCTGAAGCAGCGCTGTGAGTGTGGACATGAGACCAGCAAGCCGCAGTGCAAGCGCTGCGGCCGAGTCCTGACGGAGCCTGCATCTACGCATGACGCAGTTGAGCCCAATGCCCAGGCTCAAGACCTCACCGGAGATGTGCTGAAGTGGATGCATGCTCAGTCAGCTCCTGGCATCACTGCCGAGACCAGCGCCGACTTCATCACCTTGCTCAGTGCCGGGCATTCCATGGCCGCGTTGCTGAAGACGACCGGGAAGGTGGTCGCGCGTGATGCAATGTCTTCTTTGGGTCCGGAGTTGGGTCAGTCACTCACCGAGCCTCGTCAGATTGCTGAAGCAGTGAGCACTACTATGCAGAAGCAGGTGCCCTTGCTGCAGCTCTTGCTTGGCGACCCGCGTTCTCCTCGGGCAGGCTTGGATGCGGTCGTCGCCGGTATCCATGAAGAGGTTGTGGAGAGCAATGCACGGAGCCTGGGAGAGGCGGTGCTCTTTGGGTTGCTTCTGGCGCTGCACGAGCATGCAGACGAGATTCCTGATGCTGAGCTGTGCGCTGCGTGTGTGAAGCTCCCATGTCAAAGTGAGAACATGAGGAAGTTCATCAAGTATTTGAGCGAGTGAGGGTGAGTCAGGTGGCTGATACAGTTGCTGCTTGTCTCTCTGCCCGCTGCAGCATGTGCAGGTTGCTGTAGGGTGCTATGAGCGACAGCAAGCCATCGAACCTTCTCCTGCTTGGAGGTTCATGGTCAAAACCCACTGATAAGCCCCTGAAGTGCCCCAATAGGGCTGCAAGTACAGTTATAAGTGCAGTTTATCATTGGTTTATAAGTACCATGAACCTCCAGTGCCTCTGTATATAGGGGTTTCGTCTTATCACAGGCAGAGGGGCCGACCCAGTGGCCTGTGGAAACAAGCGCGGCCTGTGCAGTTGAGGACTCCAGGTGGGTTTAGGGTTTAGGGTTTAGGGTTTAGGGTTTAGGGTTTAGGGTTTAGGGTTTAGGGTTTAGGGTTTAGGGTTTAGGGTTTAGGGTTTAGGGTTAGTTCCCGCTAGTTTTCATTGCGGCCGTCGCAGTAAACATGAGAATGCAGGCAAGATCAAGGAGACATATTGATCCCACAGAGACTGCGGGGCCAACCCCCGACACATAGGGTTTTGTCCGCCAAGAGAGTTTTTCATTTTGAAGCTTTGTGGGAGAACTCCTTGAAAAGCCATCCAGGTCTATCTGCGAAAGGCAAAGACCATGTGGGGTTTTCCGAAATTCGGGGTACCTTGTTGTGGCCCGTATTATCAGGGATCCTACTAGTGGGGTCTATTTTTAAGGCCCCCATGTCGCAGGTCGCGTCAACTTGAGGCAAGTCGCGGCTTGAAAGTTAAGTTAAGTCGGTCGCACATCGACAAACGCGTCGCATCTGAAGTTGATCTCTTAAGGCGGGCGTTGAGCAGCTAGTATCACGACAGGGCAACGAGCAACGATGGCCTGTGGAAGATGGTGCTGATGATGGTGATCCGTTTTTTTAATGTTTAGGGTTTAGGGTTTAGGGTTTATTTAGGGTTTAGGGTTTAGGGTTTCTGAAACGATGGTTCTGGTGTCGCGGCACCTTGGCTCCCAGACGTGCTTGTGGAGACTTTGGGGCTCAGTCGCCATGTACTTGCGGACTGTGCTGCAGGCCAAACCTTGCAGCCCGAAGATCCCCAGCAACAATCTTTTTCTTACTGTTGGTTAGTAGGGAATCAAGTGTAGTTACTATTGCTATCGTTCTTTCATTCCCTATTAACCAACAGTAAGTCTTGGCTGACACACATCTGCCCAGCCCGAATCCTGCACCCTAAACCCTTTAACAAGGCTTCGTGTTCAAGATTTAGGGTTTTGGGAAGGCCCCGCACGCCAAGCCCGCCCCAGGCCCAAACCTCAGACCTCAAAGGGCCAAGGAAAAGACGGGAAAGTGCGCATGTCGAAGCATCGTGTGCCTTGAGCCTGAGGGATCCTTCATGTGACTTAAGGTACATTCCTTAAGGCTCTTTGGGGGGGGGGTCTTCAGGGTTCGGAGCTTTGGGTCTGCGGACCCCTTCGTCCCCCAACATGAGAAGCGCTCAACTCCTATGTTCCCATTGGCAAGGCGCCTTTTCCTGACATTCACGGCTTCGGGTCAAGGTTTCAGGTTGAGGGTGTAGGGCTTAGGGTTTAGGGCTAAGGTTAAGCGGCACGGGGGATAGGATCTGTGGCCATAGAGGGGTTTAGGGTTTCAGGTTTTTGGGGTGGAAGGTGAAGCCCCTAAACCCTGAACCCTCTTAAACAGGCCCGAAACCCGAAACACGAAACCCTAAACCCTAAACCCTAAACCCTAAACCCTAAACCCTAAACCCTAAACCCTACGTACAAGATGTTAACTCGGGGTTCTTCCTCGACCCCAAGAAATGTCAGCACTGGCTCCAGACGCTGACGACCAAGCAGCAGCTAGAAGCAGAAGACTTGTATAAGCTCAATGAGGCCGGGGTTCTTAGGGTTTAGGGTTTAGGGTTTGGGGTTTAGGATTTGGGGTTTAGGATTTGGGTTTAGGATTTGGGGTTTGGGGTTTCGGGTTTAGGGTTTTGGGTTTAGGGTTTAGGGTTTGGGGTTTGGGGTTTGGGGTGTAGGGTTTCGGGTTTAGGGTACCCTCAACCCTCAGCCCTCAGCCCTCAGCCCTCAACCCTCAACCCTCAACCCTCAACCCTCAACCCTCAACCCTCAACCCTCAACCCTCAACCCGCAGGCCTAAATTCCGAAAGCCTCAGCCCTGTTCGGCTGCGGCTGAATAGGGTTTGGGTTCAGGGCTTGGTTGCTAGCTTTTACCAGAGAGTTTGGGATGCCTACTTCCAGGTTTCACCGACAAGGGCCTCACGCTGCGACTAACTACCCCGAGCCCCTAAACCCTAAACGCTGAACCCTGAACCCTGAACCCTGAACCCTAAACCCTGAACCCTAAGCCCTAAACCCTGAACCCTAAACCCTAAACCCTGAACCCTACACCCTAAACCGTAAACCCGACTTCCTAGACTGCCCTCAGCCTTGAACCCCAAACTAAGCGGGCTCGAGGCTTCGCGGGAGGCTCCTGGCTTCACTGGGGCTGTTCTTCCAACCCCTCACTCTAAGCAACCCTAAACCCGAAGCAGCCCTAACCCTCAGCCCCAAACTGCAAACCCTAAACCCACAGGGTTCAGGGTTCAGGGTTTAGGGTTTAGGGTTTGTGGCGTAGGGTTTAGGGTTAAGCGTTTAGGGGAACCCCAATTAAATTTTTCCGAAACCTGCTTTCGTATTGAAGTCCCCCCCACAGAGTTTAGGTGTCGGTTGTTGTTTTGTTGCTGCGGGGGTGGGGGGGGGCGGGTCGGACTGGGGGGGAAGGGGGGAGACAGGGAGGATGCTAGTAAAGCCCTCGCAGTTCATCCAAGTCCAACATCCTGAATGTTCAGGGTTCAGGGTTCAGGGTTCAGGGTTTAGGGTTCAGGGTTTAGGGTTTAGGGGGTTAGGCATTTTGGGCTCCTGAGCCGAAGGCCACCTTCAACGTGCCCGAGGAGGAGAGCATCGATAAGATGGCCGGCAAGCCTCCGGGCCAAGGGTTAAGGGTTTAGGGTTTAGGGTTTAGGTGGGGTTTAGGGTTTCTTTGGGGCCTTCAGGGTTTCGGGTTTAGGGTTTAGGGTTTAGGGCGAGGGTTTAGGGCTAGGGTTTAGGGTTAGGGTTTAGGGTCTAGGGTGGGACCTTTTGTGCACAGGCTCAGCGAACTTAAGTAAGTAGAGTATATGTCGGGTTCCAATCAGGAGACCCCAACTTAGGGTACTTGACAACATCTGCACATAACCTACTAGCTAAGTTCCTGAGACTTCAAAGCCGAAACCCTAAACCCTGAACCCCGAACCCTAAACCCTGAACCCTGAACCCTAGCACCTAAACCCCAAACCCTAAACCTTGAGCCCTAACCTCAAACCCTAAACCCTAAACCCGAAACCCTCGACCTGAAACCCTAATTATCAGGGAAGTGGCACCCTCGACCCCGAAGCCCTGGACCTTCGTTCATGTTCCCCTTGAAGGGTGCACCTAACCCCATGCCCAAAACCCTGAATTCCCAACCCAAACCCTCAACCGCCTCACTTCTTAGACCCGTACAGTTCCCAAACCCTCTCTGCACCTACCCCTGCGGGAAGGCTTGTTGGAAGCCCGGAGGCTTTAAATGAAACCCAAGGAACCTAACAGCCGTAAACGCTCAAGCCCTAAAACCCGACGAAACCCGAAAGCCCAAAACCCCTTCGACCCCAACCTCCAAACCCCAAACCCAAACCCAAGACCCAAAACCCAAACCCTAAACTAACCTTGAACTACATGCGCTTTATACCCTAAACTCCAAACCCTCCACACTCTCCAAGCCCACACCCCTAAACCCTAAACCCTACCCTAAAAACCCTAAAAACCCTAAACCCTAAACCCTAAACCCTAAACCCTAAACCCTAAACCCTAAACCCTAAACCCTAAACCCTAAACCCTAAACCCTAAACCCTAAACCAACACCTTCAGCCCAGGCTCTTCTCTGCCGTGGAGAAGACGGTCGCTGCGTACGGAGCTGGCAGGTGGAGGGGTTTTTGGGGTGGAGAGGCTTAGGGTTGGGGTTTAGGGTTTCCTTACTGTAGGGTTTAAGGGGGTTTTGGGTTTACAGGGTTGAGTGTTCAGCACCAACCTAAGCCCCAAGCCTTCAACCCTAAGAAATGGGTGTAGGGACTCGTGGGAGGCTCCTGCGCGTTTGTGACGTGCCTATCAAATCTTCGTTGTTCTTCGGAAGGCATTAGGGTTTATGATTTAAGTACCATCCAAGCGGGTGGCACGAGGTACATTCTTCCCTCAGTCCCTCTCAGGGACTGGCAAGAAGCAGGTTCACGAGACTGTCGCAGATGTTGTGCGTGGCTTTCGCTATTGGGTCTTCGGCTCCTCTTTGGGTTGGAGTGTGTTCGGGGTTTGGGGCTTAAAGGGCCGGAACCGGACCCTAAACCCGGAATCCTTCAACACCCCAAGCTCTAAACCCCAAACCCCAAACGCCAAAACCCCAAACCCAAGCAATTGGCCTCAAATTCCCCCATGCCCTAAGCCCAAAGCAACCCTAAACCCTAAACCCGAAACCCTAAACCCTAAACCCTAAACCCTAAACCCTTGAGCCCAAAGCAGGTATGACCGGGACGACAACAACTTTTACTACGACTATGTTGCGCTCTTGGGCACGATGCAGCGCGGGGCCCCGTTCACATGAGGGCTTGAGGGTTCGGTTTAGGGTTTAGGGTTTAGGGTTTAGGGTCTAGGGTTCAACCCAAACCCTAACCCTAAACCCTAAACCCCTCCTTGGCTTCATCTAGGCCTCAGTGGGGAGCTTCAGTGGATTAGGGTGTGTGTGTGCACCCTCAAGCCCCGCGCAACGCCTCAAACCCTACCGGCCAGGACTTCTTTAACTCCAAATCCTGAGGGTTTAGGGTTTAGGGTTTAGGGTCGAGGGTTTAGGGTTTAGGGTTTATGGTTTACGGTTTAGGCAGGGCTACAAGAGGGTTTGAAGGGCAAAGTTTAAGACCCCATAGGCTCGGAGTTGGAGGTGTTAGAGGTTTCAGAGGT